CCTCCAATTAAAAAATAAGAAAGAAGGAACAGAAATACGTTCTCAACCTTGATTGTTGAAAAGTTAAAGAACAGACAGGAGTTTGAAGGTAGAAGGGGAAAGAATAAGTAACTGTAGGGAAGCTAATGTCCTCATCTTTAGAAGTGCTTCAGAGAGAAAAAGAAATGGAGGTTTATATGTACTATTTAATGTTACAAATGTAAACAATAAAGGGATAAAAACTAGTCATATTTTATACTGAGCAGAAGCAGGAAGGGAAGTTAAAAGTGAGCTAAGTTAGGTTAGAAGATAAAGGTTAGGAGGATAAATCAATAAATAACAGCACACTACTAAGCATTTTGGACAAAAATTTTCCAATAGGATTGCTCTTAAAGAGTGGTTAGGTTGGAAGGGGTCAGTTCTTTTCATTGAAAAAAATTTATTATTTGATAACTATATATTAACTTGATAATTTTATTAAAGACTGAAAGTACACAACCCAATAAAATCCTTTTACAGTCATTTTACAGATGAGAAAATGTTGGGTGAGGAGAGAGGTCATTTAAAGGACTGGTGAGGGCTGGGGCCCTAGAGATGGTCCCCCAACCAGAAGGAGCTTGTGTGCTAAGGTCCCAGAGGAGATGAATGGCATATTCCTTGCCATGAAAAGGGGGAAATACAACACTTACCTTTTGAAGGTAAGTGAAGATAAAATGAGAACATGTGTGACAGTGGTCAGGATGTGTCAGTGGCTGCAACAGGGGCTGCCCAAACAAGTTTACACTCATGCCTGGGTATTTGTAAGGTTAAAGGCAAAGCGAGACCTTGGAACCAATTCAGTATTTCTTCGTTTCAGGGCTGGCGAGCGGTCCTGACCAGGTTATTTAATCTCCCTAAGCTGCACTCTACTCATCTTCAAAGTGGGGGCGCTGCTTTTCACTACCCTTCTGGTGGGTCTGAGAACAGTTCTGAGGCTCATCTCCGGTTCCCTGCTGCCTTTCCACCTCTCCCTATAATCCTGTTTGTAAGCCTACAGTTGTTCACGGGGGAAACAAAATACAAATTGGATTGAAAAGATTATTTCATGAAACTCAGAAGATGGAATTGGCTTTCTGTATATTTCCGGATAAAGAAATATATAAGAGAGCTGAGGGAAACCCATTATGTCAGATAAGCTGCCTACTCACAGCAGACAAGAATACTAACCAGATGCAAACGAACTCAGCTTAGCACAGATCTATACCCCTAGGTCGGGCTTCCATGGTGGCTTAGCTGGTAAAGAATCCACCTGCAATGTGGGAGACCTAGGTTTGATCCCTGGGTTGGGAAGATCCTCTGGAGAAGGGAACGGCTATCCACTCCAGTATACCAGCCTGGAGAATTCCATGGACTAGAGTCTGTGGGGTCCCAAAGAGGTGGATACGACTGAACGACTTTCATTTTCACTTTTCCCTAGGTCATATGAAATTAGTAGACTGTCCAGAACTCCTACTTCACATTAATAACAACAACAAAAAAAATACTTTAAAAGGTTTTTTTGGTCAGGAAGAAATATCTCTTAACTATTCCATAGTCTGTTAAAGAAATCATAAATTTTAACTATAGTTTCTGAAAAACATGGTTTAAGTTAGCAAAATCTTTCAAAGATGAGTTCTAACAGACTAGATCACCTACACTGACTCAGGATTTTTAAGGAACAAACCAAACAATAGGTTATTTAACTCCAATTAACTAAAATAAAGTTCTCAGCTTTCAAAGAAACATCATATGTCCACCTGTTGCCATGACAATGCCTGTGCTCAGCACCACTTATGATGGAACTGCCAAGGACAGGCAGTCTGCATGCGTGTTTTATATACTACACGTAGGGAGCTAAACCTGTGAGGAGGGGAAGGCAGATGACAGGCACCTTGACGAGCTCCTTGGTCCAGGAGCAGAGACAAGAAAGCTTATATCCATATAAGGCATTAAGTCCTCCTCACGCATCCTGGACATCCTGTCTCACAATCACACTTCCAAACATGGGACTCAAGCAAATGAAGCAACGGGAAAGCAAAAAAGAATTAAACAGCTTTAAGGGCCGTGTTGTGATTCTGCCATCACGGTCTTTCCTCAGCCGCGAGTGGCAGTGACTAAATCAGCAGCTGCTCCTTCAGTCTCCCCGAGTGAGGAGGAGCCGGCAGCACCCATGTGCATGTGAGAAAGAAAGAAAGCAGCCTCTCTATCGTGGCCAGAGGTTGGGGGAACCATCTGTTAGCACTGCGTCGTCTAGTGAGAGCTAAGATACCTCTCTTCCATGCAGACTGCAGTGAAGATTAAATGTGATTATGTTTAGAGAGTACCTGAAAAAATAATAATTGCTATTGTCAATAAACGTGTGTTCCCTTCTTTCCACTAGCATTCATGAAGCGGATACTTACTGTTGCTGAGTCCAGCTGCCCCGGCTGCCCCCCTGTGTACATCAAAGATCCAGAATAGTCAGAGCTTAGGCATTTGTTTTGGAGACCTCACATGCTCCAACTGTGCTGGAGTCCTAAGGGGTTGGTTTTGTATTCTCTGTTTTACAAGGAATGTAAACTGGATAAGTTGATGCCCTATTGATGGGATGGGCAAAAGAAAACCAAAAACAGCCTTCCGTAGTTCTGGGACAAAACCTAAGTAAGAAAAAATAAGAACTAACCAATTTTTAATGAATCACATGGTAGGATGAATAATTCATAATTAATATCAATGTTGTGCCCAAATACTAATGTCTTCCATTAAGCTGCAGAGGTGAAGCTGAGAAGCTCAGAATGAGGACTGTTAGAAGGAAGCAGGGATGAACGTCCATTTGCTGTGCAATTCACACACACACACACACACACACACACACACACACGCACACACTCAAAACTATGCATATATGTGGCTCTGTGCATTTACATCATAACGTGTAAGAGCTTGTATAATAAACCTGAGGCTAAAGCATATATTTAGTAATTAAATGAACAACATAAGCAGGCTGTACACATTTTCAGTACAGCAAAGTGCACTAAACGAGGAAACTGAGAAGGAAAGCTGCCACCCCGTCCCCCAGGGCTGCCTGCCTCTTCAGAGGCGGAAGTTTCAATTACCCATGCAAGAAACAGCCATTTGGATTAAACTCACAATTCACTACAAGGAAGAGGGAAGGAAACAGGCCAGGAATTGTGCCCTGACAATCTGATATGACAGCTCATGTCAGATTAGAAAGGTCATGCAATTTATTCCAAGTCATACAACTAATAATTATTACAGCAAGGACCCAGGTCTGTATGCACAAGATGTGTGATCTATCCACAAAATACCTGGAAATTTAGGCTTCTGGAGGCAAGTATAGTACAGATGTTAATCTTGAAAAAATGTTCTCATTCTGTTTAAACAACATACCCTAGAGAAGGTTTTCTTTTCTAAAATGTTAAAATGTCCAAAGGACTTCTCTGGTGGCTCAGATGGTAAAGAATTTGCCTGCAATGCAGGAGAACCAGGTTTGATCCCTGGTTTGGGAAGATCCCTTGGAGAAGGAAATGGCAACCCAATCTAGTATTCTTGCCTGGAGAATCCCCATGGACAGAGGAGCCTGGTGGGCTACAGTCCATAGCATCACAAAGAATCAGACATGAATGAGCAACCAACACTTTCATTTTCAAAATGTCCAAAAGCTTTAGATTATACAATAAAACACTACAGAAAAACCAAGCTGATTTTAAGAAAATGAATGGCCATCCCATATACTGCTTGTTCTCAGGGCTTCCTCAGAAATACTGCAGAACTATAAAAACTACAAAAAAGCCATTCTACAGGAAGAATAATCACATGCAATATTTCAGTGTAATTCCCCTTCTGCTGGCCTTTCTTAGAAATCACTGTACAAGTAATTAAGATGGGTCCATTGGAAAATGCTTATTAATGACCACCAAACTGTTTCAATAAGGCAGATAATACATATGACATGTTAGTAGATTCAGAGTTTGGTCAACCTCAGTTATACTTTCAAAAAGTTACTTTGGAATAAAATATAGCCATTTGTGTTATTTCTGAAATCTCCTTTAGGCCCATAATGCATTCCTGTGCCTAGTCTTTGCTTTGGCACTTATACCAATTACATGGCCTTGTCAATTCCAGCAATACTGTGCAATACTTAGAATCCTTAATCCATTTTCTCTAAAGCATCCAAAGTTACAAGATCATTTACATACATGTTTAGGATTGTTGAATGTGTATCTGGATGTTCTTGAAAGTTACTTTGGTTTTACATATGATTGCAAAGATGAATAGTTTTTAGTTCATGCAGTGAGAGAATCTGCCTGTCTGCTAGTTCCCATGAATTGGTTCAACATTCTTACACCACCATTATTGGAATAATTCTTATTATAAAATAATGTTAAGTATTAACATTAAGCATCTCTTGAAATAATTGTTTCATCTTATTAACCTCAACATCTGTGTCATTAATGCTATTTAAAATGTTTTAAAGCAATCTAAACTATAGCAGAATCTTGAAAAACTTGCCTTTCGGTGGGAGTGTGAATGAGGTGACTCACAATGGAGCTGAGTGGGCTCCTTCATCTTAGGGAAAGTTCTGTTAACTGATCACCTGTTAACTCTGGGTGGTTACATTGAGATAACCAGCTGGCAGTATAACTAACCTCCAGCTGTTGCTTCCTACCATTTTAAACACTGGGTGTAGTTTCCACGAAAATCGTGAAAACAAGAAGACCATGCCCAGAAAGCCATATAGACTGTTTCATACTATTCCACTCAATAGTTTGAGAAAAGTATATGGCAAAACAAGTGGACAACTTCTGAAATAGAAATAAGAGTTATAGAGTTAGATTTTAACTGATGGGCAATAGAGAAAAAAGCTAGAAAAAGTGATTATTTTTATTGTTACCTTGAGGTTGTCAAATAATTTCAACTTCAAAAGTTACTTTTCTGATCAAAGTTGTCATTTGTCCTTTTCTAGCAACATCCATCAGAATCCCAGGGTGGGGATAACTTACGAAGAGAGGATACGCTGGAGGTGCCCCGAAGAAACTGGTGTAAGCCGTCTTCATCTTCGCTGGAGCTGACTATACTGTTCCTCATTTCTAGCATGGACAACTGAGTGCAAAGGCTGAGCTGGTGATCCAACTTTTTGATCTTCTGTAAAGCAAAGTTTTAAGATTTCTGAGCGCTATGGGGCTTAGATCATAGCTTTCCTGTAAGTAGCATTTACTTTTCCTTGAAATAAGGAACTGTTGGTACATAGTGCCAAATAAATAGTAGCTATAATTTTTTATTATAAGCTATTACTGCAAATACATTATAAAAATTTAATATACTCACTGGACTATTTATTAATCTGAAAAATGCTAAGCACCAACCTAATTTGATAACTGCCTAGACAAGATAACTTGAAGAGCGCCCACACCCATACTCATAGTCCCTGGGGAACAGTACTTATGGAAACAATGTTTTGCAAGTTCTCTTCTGTAATCACTTAAACTTCTTTCTCAGCAAATGTGGGGAAATGAAGATCAAATTGCAAATTGTTGAAGATCCATACAGCTCTGAAATGCCTAACTGAATAGCCACAGGCTTCCATTCCTATATCTCTCTTGTCACTTATGGGCTTTCTGGAAAGGGATCAGGAGGATGTGCAAGACTGGAAGACACGGGGTTAAAATGCCAACCTCCTGCTTGCTGGGGTTGATCAGCATTTATCAGTCTGCCCTGCCTTTCCTGGCCTACACACATCGCCCTTAGTCCTCCGGCTCACTTATCATTTTCTTTAGGTTCCTTGAAAGACATTTTATGAAGAGGACAGCACATCCTTACTACACATGAGGTGTCTGACATGCGCAGACACCTCAGTAGGTCATGGGAAATATAATAATTACATGGTATTTCCTCATTCTTGAGAAATGATCCCCTGAAGTGTCTCTCAATTATAAGCATCCCCACTTCATTTAACATAGAACTAATTCATGATTAGTTAATGAAAATCCAGGAAACTATACACTGCATAAAGGAGGGATACCTCATTCTACATATGTATTTAACAAAGTAAAAGGACTCAGAAAAATACATACTTTATCATTTAAGGTGGGATCATTCAATGAGTAGAGCTTGTTTGTAATGTCTTTTCCTATAAGATATCTAAATATTTCATACAGAAAAGGCTCTGATTCCAGAAAGTATGTTAATCTTTCTCTTGACCAGCATAAAAATCTGCAATTATCATCTGCAATAATGGTGACCTGCCAAAGAAACAGAAAGAAAAATGTATTTGAATTATGATGTCAGTAACTTGGGGCAAGGGAAGAGTGGAATAATTTAGTGGATATTATAGCAGTGTTTTATCATATTAGTTAAAATAAGATTCATAAACACAAGCTTCTATAAATATAACATTATGTTTAAAATCAAGCAGTCTTCCCAGTGTACAGTAAAGAACCCGTCTTCAGTGCAGGAGACATAAGAGACGCAGGTTCAATCCCTGGGTCGGGAAGATCCCCTGGAGGAGGGCATGGCAGCCCACTCCAGCATTCTTGCCTGGAGAATCCGCATGGACCGAGGAGTCTGGTGGGCTATGGTCCATAAGGTCGCAAGAAGTCGGACATGACCAGAGCAACTGAGCACACAATCTGTAGACTACGTGAAGATAAAGTCTTCCAGTTTTGTTGTTCTGTTTTGTGAGCTCTGGGGATAGAAGACTGGCCTCCATGTCAATAGCACTGCTAGAGTGTACCAGACTGATGTCTCAATTTGGCATTCAATATGGCTAAATATTTCTTTACACCTGGAATATTATACTAGAGAATGAAAAAGGAACTCATGTGAATTGATTTTAGGACCCAGATGGTCATTGATGAATACGGCTAGTAAGGGTCCTTTTTTTGTTCCTTCTGTCATAGGCATTTCTTGTGTGTGAACTACCAAAGGTGGCACAATGGGGACACACACAGAGATGCTCCAGCTAGCTCAGAACTGGGAAACATGCTCTTTCCCTCAGTGTCGTTACGTAAGAAAGTGGGCGAGCATTTTAAATGCACTGTGCAGAGCTCAAGTGTTCCTTAAAGAAATCCCCTCTCCAGAACGAGGAGCTCAGTGTGAGGACGCCCTTCCTCACACACAGGTCCTTCCATCAGCTTCACACGGCATGCTTATCACTGGACTCCAGCTTATCCACGGTCCATTCTCTTTCCTGAGCACCCTGAGGGCAGGGCTGTGCATCTTCATACTGAGTGCCTGGCTTCCAACACAGAGGGCTGCTCGCTGCAGATTTACTAATGAAGGCGTTAAGAGATTAACACACATACTACTGAAGGCACAGCGTGTTTTTATATCTTTAACATTAAACCCAATGCCTTTCCAAGCGGGAGATTAATACAAGTTTTCAAAATGGACATGAAGTCATATCTGGGCTCAGAGCAAATGTTTCCAGAGGAGCTCTTTACCCTTTATTAGTCAGAAAACTAAATGTATTTCAGATGACAAGATAGGTTTTCTCTCTACTAGGAGAGAAAACAGAAAACCCAGCTTCTTTCCTTGGGTCAGTGGCTGAAATCTGATCCTTGGTAAATCAGAGGGTTTGACTACAAAAGATGAGTCAGTGTTCCCAGGAAAATAAAACTGTACTTATTTATTATGTTAAATAATATTAAAATACCATATTAAATAATAAATCCGCCAAACCAAACACATTGGCATTTAAGAAATGCATCAGCAGCTCTATGGTTCCATAAAACACTAAATTTCATTTATTCTTTCAATATATATTGTTAGGCTGGGAGTTTATGCCAGACCCAGTTCAATGCACTGAGGTTATCATGGTGAACAAGAAAGACAAGATCCTTGCCCTGTGATGCTTACATTAGTGGAGGAAGCTGATAATCAATGTGACAACCTCAGGTGGCAGTAAGTGTTTTGACAAACCACAGGACAGGGGAAAATGGAAGAATGACTAGGAAATTCCAGGTACACATAATGCCCTTCCTTTAAGAATGTATTGTATTTTGAAACATTTAACATGCTTTTATATCTATCAAGTAAGCAGATCCTTAAAACTGCCTTTGAGATAAGACAGATAACATTCTTCCTCATTTTCCAGATGCCAAATAAGCACCAAAAAATTTACATATGGACACATGTTAATGAACAGTAGAGTGAGCCCTTCTGACTTCCAGCCCCGACATGTTTTCCCACCAGGTGGGAAATCCTATATGTACTAGATTCATCAAGACAATCACCGAGAAAGCCATTTGGTGAAGTGAGCACAAGGCTGACTCGCCATCAAGAATCCTCTGTGTAAAGAACAACTGAACATAGTGTCATAAAGCCTACATTCTAGTGGAGGAAGCTGGTAATAAGTAAGGATATGTGACCAAGGACAAAAAAATTTATAGGAAGAGAAGTATAAGATCAAGAGACATAGAAGCCTGTCCCTAGGAGTTCCCAGAAACAGTAGGAGGTGGGTATGTAAACAAAAGGCGACTGAATAACATTCTCGAGGAGTGAATATTTTTAGAGAAGGTGAGCATGGGGCACTCAGGATGACCCAGTCCTGCACCCAAGCATTGAAGAAAGGGTTAGGAGAGTTGAAGTCCCTTCATTCTGCAAAGGTGTCATCTGTGCCTTTGGAAGATACAGTTCATGCACAGTGGGGGAAGAAGTAAAGGAGAAGTTGGAAATTATCCAGGAAAAGAAGAAGCCATTGCACAGGTGATGTATTGCACATGCATTTAACTTTTTTTCCATCAATTTTAGTAGCCTCAAGTTTTCCATGAGGCAAAAATACTTTTAATATGATATTATAGTTTGCTTAGAACCATTGCTTAGAACTATTTTCAAAAATTGAAGTTTAGTTGATTCAGTGTTTCAGGTATATAGCAAAGGGATTAATTTCCAAAATATACAAACAGTTCATACATATATATATGTTTATACATATATATATATATCTCCTTTTTCAGATTCTTTTTCATTGTAGGTTATTATAAGGTTGAATACAGTTCCTTGTGGCATCAGATCAGGAAAGGAGTATATCAAGGTTGTATATTGTCACCCTGCTTATTTAACTCAGAGTACATCAAGCAAATGTTGGACTGGATGAAGAACAACCTGGAATCAAGATTGCCTGGAGAAATGATATCAGATATGCAGATGACATCACCTTTACTGCAGAAAGTGAAGAAGAACTAGAGAGCATCTTGATGAAAGTGAAAGAGAAAAGTGAAAAAGTTGGCTTAAAACTCAACATTCAGAAAACTAAAATCATGGCATCTGGTCCCATCACTCCATGGCAAATAGATGGGGAAACAGTGACAGAGTTTATTTTGGGGGGCTCCAAAATCACTGCAGATGGTGATTGCAGCCATGAAAGTAAAAGATGCTTACTCCTTGGAAGAAAAGTTATGACCAACCTAGACAGCATATTAAAAAGCAGAGACATTACTTTGCAAACAAAGGTCCATCTAGTCAAGGCTATGGTTTTTCCAGTAGTCATGTATAGATGTGAGAGTTGGACTATAAGGAAAGCTGAGCACCAAAGAATTGATGCTTTTGAACTGTGGTGTTGGAGAAGACTCTTGAGAGTCCCTTGGACAGCAAGGAGATCCAGCCAGTCCATCCTAAAGGAAATCAGTCCTGAATATTCATTGGAAGGACTGATGCTGAAGCTGAAAGTCCAATACTTTGGCCAGCTGATAGGAGGAACTGACTCATTTGAAAAGACCCTGATGCTAGAAAAGATTGAAGGCAGGAGGAGAAGGTGATGACAGAGGATGAGATGGTTGGATGGCATCACCAACTCAATGGACATGGGTTTGGGTGGACTCTGGGAGTTGGTGATGGACAGGGAGGCCTGGCGTGCTGCAGTCCATGGGGTCGCAAAGAGTCAGACGTGACTGAGCAACTGAAGTGAACTTCTGCTGTCAAGCAAAGTGATTCAGTTATACATATATACGTTCTTTTTTAATATTCCTTTCCATTACTGTTTATCATAGGATATTGAATATAGTTCCCTGTGCAATACAGTAGGGCCTTGCTGTTTACCCATTCTATACTTAATACCTTACATCTGCTAACCTGAAACTCCCACTTCACCCCAACTCCCTCCTCCATGCCAACCATAAATCTGTTTTCTATGTCTGTGAGTCTGTTTGTTTTGTAGATAGGTTCATTTGTGTCATATTTTAGGTTCCACACATAAGTGACATTATATGGTATTTGTCTTTGTCTTTCTGACTTACTTTACTTAGTTCGATAATCACTAGTTCCATTTATGTTGCTATTTCATTCTTTTTTATGACTGAGTAATATTCCATTATATGAATGTACCACATCTTGATCCATCCATCTGTTGATGGACATTTAGGTTTCTTTTATGTCTTAGCTATTGTAAGTAGCGCTGCAAAGAACAATGGGGTGCTTGTATCTTGTTGACTTATAGCTCTGTATGGACAAATGCCCAGGAGTGGGATTGCTGGATCATATGGTAATTCTATATTTAGTTTTCTGAGGAACCTCCATACTGTTTTCTATAGTGGCTGCACCAACTTACATTCCCACCAACAGTGTAGGAGGGTTCTTTTTTTCTCCACATCCTCTCCAGGCCATTCTGATCAGTGTGAGATGGTACCTCATTGTAGTTTTGATTTGCATTTCTCTAATAATTAGCAATGTTGAGCATCTATTCTTGTGCCTATTTGCCATCTGTATTTCTTCTTTGCAGAAATGTCTATTTAGGTCTTCTGCTCATTTTTTCATTGGGCTTTTTGTTGTTGTCAAGTTGTATGAACTGTTTGTATATTTTGGAAATTAAGCCCTTGTTAGCTGCATCGTTTGCAAATATTTTCTCCCATTCTATAGGTTGTCTTTTCATTTTGTTGATGGTTTCCTTTGCTGTGCAAAAGCTTGTAAATTTGATTAGGCCCCATTTCTTTGTTTTGTTCTAATTTCTATTGCCTTGGGAGACTGACCTAAGAAAACACTGGTATGATTTATATCAGATAATGTCTTGTCTATGTTCTCTTCTAAGAGTTTTATGGTATTATGTCTTATGTTTAAGTCCTTAAGCCATTTTGAGTTTAACTTTGTGTACGTGACAGCATGTATTCTAACTTCATTAATTTACATGTGACTAGGCAATCATCTTTTATTAATGGTTGAAAACTACTTTAAACCTGTTTAAATTATTATTCAATTTAAATGTAGTAACAGTATTCATATAATAAGCTGTACATGCGTGCTAAGTCACTTCAGTTGTGTCCAACTCTTTGTGACCCTTCAGACCATAGCCCCCATGGCTGTTCTGTCCATGGGATTATCCAGGCAAGAATACTGGAGTGGATTGCCATGCCCTTCTCCAGGGGGTCTTCCCAATCCAGGGATGGAACCTGAGTCTTATGTCTCTTGCATTGATAGGAGGGTTCTTAACCACTAGTGACACCTGGGAAGTTGAGTCTTTCAAGTCCACAAGAGCAAGCATTTAGTTGGAAGCAGGTAGTTAGCATATTGACTGAGGGCATTTCACTCGATAGCTAATGCTTCATTTCTATCAAATAGACAGTTTACTTAATGATTTCCTGTCACAGCAGCCAAGTGAAACATATCTTTAATGAGGAATTTTTTGAAGCACCTAGGAATTCTTAAAGCTTCCATAAAGTACATTTGCTTTTTAGATTATTAGGGAATCTCAGCAGTGCCATGCTTGAGTTCTTGTGAATTTTACAGAAGAAATAAAAGCCTACACAGTAGTGGAAGACACAAAAGAATTTCTCTCAAGTAGAGAATTAGACAAAGCATTTGTAACCAGGTTTGCTGCAATTACTCAAGGTGCTGGATTAGTCCCAAACCAATCCTACACCCTCACTTAATGAAAAGACTTTATCAAGAACCAGGGTGTCGGAGGGAAACGCTGAATGTGCTAGCATGGGAAATGGCAGTCTGACATTATGACTGACTGACTGTCCTCAGGGGAGAATTTATTATTTTCTTTGCGTACTGTACAACACTTCACACATGAAAATGTCCCAGAAGTGGTCCATTCAGCTAATTTTTATTGAGTTCTCATCCACACTGAAACACAACAGAGCCAAGGCTGGCAGATTAAATTGCTTTGCAACTTAACCCAAAGAGTTACGTAACACTAAGAGAAGGTTTTATTTAAAAGCAGTTAAAACTCAGTGTTCCTTTATTTCACCAGAGCCTGGACATCTGCCTCCAAGACATTCTTTTTCTCTTAAAGTCAATAAAGGTTTGTTTTTCAAGCTTCACAGCACAGGATGTGCTATCGATTATGGGAAGGCAACAGCGGGAGGTAGAACCCAAAAGAAAAATGAAAATGGCAAAGCTCACTGGAGATGAAATGACTGTACAAAGAAGAAATAAGACACAAAACACTACTTCTGCCTTTTGTGATATTGATACTCAAGATTCTCCCAAGAGTTCTCAGAAGCAGCCTGGGTCTGTAAGTCCTAGCAGAGCACCAAGGGAGCAGCTGGATGTTTAGAGTTGGTGTATCAGCTCTGTCAATCTGCCTGTCATTATAATTACCGCACATTCCTGAACAACACTCACTGTGTGATCTCAAGGGACAGTCGCCAATTCTACTGGCTTCCTTTCTTCCTTTCATCCTACTGTTGAATTCACTAGCACCCCTACCAAAGAATGAATTTAAAGATACAAAAATGCAAAGGAAGCAGCTCCTTGACAGAACACTTGTAAGCATCCAGAGTTAGAGAAGAATGAAATTAGCAGGTAAAAGGGTGTGCGGGTGCAGAAGTCTGGACACTGACAATTTCAAGTGGCCTCTGCCATTGGCATAGAGTGAAAAGCTGATCCTAGGAGCACATGATGGTTTTCATCTGGGAACTCGCTTCAGGAAGAGGCAGTATACTCCTACACAGATGTGCAACAGCTATTTTTACTCTTGAGTATCCGCCAATAGGAACATTTGGTGAACAATCAAAACAGAATCTCTCCCGAGGGCTTACTCTGATGGGAGTCTTTTCCAACTGTATGGGACTTAGGCTCGATGGTGCCAGAGCAGTTTTTATCCATTGATCAATCAGCCACACCAGACTCTGTGCAGAGAAAAGCTGACTAGTGCTTGGGGAGGCTGAACCAATATCTCTCACCCCATTAGGGTACCTTGAGTTTGGTCATGTTTTTAGAAACATGAGAAGCAAATCAATCATGAGGACTATTTCTCAAATTGCCAAATCCCAATCCCCTGTCCTGAAGAAGCAGAAGAACTGTGATGAGTGGTAGAAAGTCCTTTGTTAATTACATATAATTTGTAGTCCGGTGTTAAAGACAGTACATGTTATGTCCCAGGGGCTACAGGCTGCTGGAAACACAGGAGGTTCAGTCCCCTTCCTTTCCCCAAATGCTGGTCTCTTCAGGATCCTATGAAATAGTTATTGTGTAAAATCACTTGCTACTATAAACAGAGAAATAGATACAGCAGATAAATGTTGGGCTTTGGAAGAAGAAACTGGAAGCAGGTCAGAGGAAAAGAGGGAGAGAGGAAAGAAGTGGCCCCGGACCAGTTTATAGATGGTGGTGATTAAAGATACTGTAAGAATAAATCTCAGTGCAGAGCTGACCCCAGAAAAACCCAAGGGAGTGTGTAAGTTAGAGGAGGCAGGATGTAGGATCTGCTTTTTCCTCCTGTATCTTTAGCTCAGCAAGCCTGGGGACAGCATTGCAGCCAGGTAGTAAATTTATATGAGACCCTCTAGTAAATGCACATAACTTTAACACATTGTGTGGTTACTCAGGTAGGGTAGGAGTGGGGCAGGCCTGAAACCATTGTAAATCCACTTAACTAGTGTCTGTGAATGTCCCCTTGTATCTCCATGTGGCGTCCCCAAGAGTGTGGCATCTCAAAATGAGACTCATATAAGACTTTGTCATCAAGAAACACTGATTTTTCCTCCGTCAGGTGGTAGCATCCCCTTCTACTCCATTTCCTACCTAAATGTTTACATTTACCCTCCTGCTCATAAGAAACCCTATTCTCAGGATACTTCCTTAATGCCGTTTATCTAAAGGCTCAGACTAAAGGAAACTCTCCATTTTCTTGGTTACTTTCCTGACAATACTGAGGGGAATAAAACAGGACAGCTGGACATTTACAGGAAGAATCAGAACAAAGTATCACAAATGGAGCTTTTTTTCCCCTAAAAATACTAAAAGAACCAGGCTGAGTACTTCAAATTATTGTAACTGTAAAGAACTTCATTCTTTGCTGTTAAACATATTCATTACATTTAAAAGAGTACAGTGGTTAATTTTTTTTTCATGAGGATTAACAAAATAGGTTCTCTAGGGCAAAATCAGTTTCTTGCTTTTCCCCAGTAAAAGTAACCAATTACATGTTTTAAGTACACTGATTATCCATAACTGACCTTTTCCTTTTTTTTTTTTTCATAACAAAAGCATTAGATGTTCTCTATGGAAAAATTAGAAAAATTAGAAAAATTCAACTAAACAAAAAGGAAGAAAACAATCAAACTTACAATTCAGAAATAAATGTTAACATAATGGCTAAATCAGGATATATCTTTCTAGACCTCTTCTTGTGTACCTATACACACCACTTTCAGTTTTACAAGGAACTTCCCTGATGGTCCGGTAGTTAGGAATCTGCCCGCCAGTGCAGGGACACAGGTTTGATCCCTGGTTCAGGAAGATCCCACATGCTGCAAAGCAACGAAGCCCTTGCTACAAGAGAAGCCACCTCAACAAGAAGCCTACACACCACACTGAAGACTAACTCCCATTCTCTGCAACTGGACAAAAGCAGGATTGCCAAAAATAAATTTAAAAAAATTTTTGCAAAAATGGGATCATACTATATATACCATATGGTAATCTCTTTTTTCAATAAATCATGGCCACTTTTCCATCCATACCCTTTGGATTTTGAATACGACATTAACTAGTTTCAATATTCTTAAGAATCATGCCAAAACATACCTGGAATTTTTCACCTTTGTGCATCTGGGTTGATCTAAATTCAGGAGAATCTATAAAGGCACAGGGGTAAATGTTATGCAGAAAATGTCCTCGATAGGAAACCTTCATTCTGATAACAGAAATTAGTGTTAATAAATGCATAATAATTCACACTTATCATGACAAGCTTTAAAATCTCCATAATCTTATGGGTTTTTTATTTTGTAAAAACTTAAAGACCCCACAGGAGACTGACATAATTAAAAAGCACTTCCCGAGGCACAAGTATTAGTTTCAAAATAAGTTTCACTAACAACAAGGGGAAAAAAGTGTCCATATTGAAGCAGACATGTCTAATTTCATCAGTGTCTCGCTGGAGTGACCATATAATTCATTATTCAAACTGGTACACTTCTGAGCAAGAACAGACACTGCTATCTCCCCAGGAGACTGATATTCCTAGAAGTTGCATGTTTGTGATATTCAAAAAAATAAGCAAGTTGACTCTAAAACACGCATAAGCTTCTTAAATTTTAATACCCAATTTAACCCTATTCCAGTTCTGCCTCATTAAACTTACTAAAAAGGTGAAAACTATTCACAAGTAAAAATCTTGATAGCAACATGATTCACGGAGATAAATCCTACATAACTTTACCACATTATTCTGTAACATTCTATAATGCAGTTGTCCAGATGAAAATTCACCTCCATGACCACTTACTCCATTAGTTGGCAACATTCCCTTTCATTCATTTCCTACCCAGAGGCCAGAAGAGTCCAGGCGAACAAGGCATTTTGATTTCCATAGAGCACTTACTTTCCTTTCAGGAGAATACTCAGACGGTCATCAACTGAGGTTAGATCCTCCACAGCATAGCTCTCGCCCTTTTTCAACGTTTGGATCATGCAAAACTGTCCAGTTAATCTTCTGAACAAATCTGGAGACACACGGAGGGGTTCAAACAATCGCCGGTAGATGCTTCTGAGTTCCTTTTCGATCTTTACCTGAAAGGAAGCAGTGACCGAATGCCACATCTCATGCAGCAACCCCGAAACATCAGCTACTGTGGTCTAAATACAGTTTGGGGAATAAACGGATCTGCAATACATGCTATCACCCTTCTATATTTTGGTCAGTGGAATCTGACACCGACAGTAAGTGGTGATGTAAGTTTAGATGCTAAAAGGGCACTTTTGCAGTTAAGCCGAACTCTGAGAGCATATGGTGAAGATCTGCACTGTTGATTACATCTCTTTCTATGCACTATCAAGCAGCCGTGGCGGTTCTGATTGTTGTCACAGTATTTACCTTGCCCATCTTAGCATTTTCTATAAATAACATATTAATAAAAGCTTTTCATTTGAGAATATTTTTGTTTCACAGAAGGAAGTTACACTAACTTTGAAATAGCAAGGAAATAAGTACATAAATTAGGAATCAACTTGGAAACAAATTTATTAAGATTGATGCATTAAATGTTTTACTTATGTGCAATTATTATCTAGTGAGTTAATACAGGAAATCAAATATCCTTAGCTGTAATTGCTACTTCTCATGTATTTATTCCAAAGCAAAGTGAAGAATGTAAAATTCAAATGGCTCAGTCGCCTCTGTTGTCAGACTATCCAAGGCCCAAATCAAGCCTATCCGTGTGCCCAGCATTAGTCTGGGAAATCTGTACTGCATGCAAATGAACCTTGATGTTCAAGTGATCATCCATCTCAATGAAATCTGTGGCAGCTATGCCATGAAGCTACAGACCCAGGAGATCAGGGCTGCTCAGATGTCACCATAGCCTTTCTGACACTCTTATTTCCTGCTGTTTCATTTTAATGAAGAATTAGCATTTATATTTTTCAAAAAGATAGGCTTATAGCCCGAGAAGAAACAAAAGCACAGATACTGAGTGATTTACTTCCTCGGTGGCACTATTACATCAACAGCAACTCCTGAATCTTACGTTCAGAATGTGGGATTCTAGGAAGTTCTGCTATTGAGAAGCTGAAATCCTTATTATTACTATCATCTACCTCTCCACTCCAGAGCTTTCATAATGAGTGTCTCATTAATTCACAGATCTGTCTCACTTTCAGCATGCACACTAGCCAGTGTGGCACAATGATCATATGAACTGAAAAACTGACTTAAATTCATAATCTGCTCATCCTGCCAGCCTTAGCTCAAGTCCCAGTTCTTCCATGAAGCCCTCTAAATTCCTCTCTTTGAAAGCATTCACTTATCAAAGGTTTTCTTGAGCACCAGTTATGTGCCAGCCATGCTTGGCAGGAACAGGGAACACAACAATAAGTGTGGTAGATGATCCTATTGTTTGCAGCTCCTGGCTGCTTCCACCCTTGAAAGAGGATCGTATATCCTCTTAACCCATCCTATTCCCACATCATCAGGCTTGGTCATGTCAGTTGCTCTGGCAAGCAGAATTGATATATGCTCCTTCTGAGCAGAAGTTTTAAGAAACAATGTGTTTCTTTTGTTCTCTTATATGCTTCTCTCTGCCATGACAATGCATGTCCAAATAGAAGCTACTGCTTCAGTAGAGATCCTGAAATGAAGACACATGGAGAAATGAAGAACTGCAGCTGTACCCAGCTGCCACAGTCCACATACTAGGTGAGTGAAGAAAAAACTTGTTGCTGTTATATGGCATGAAGACTTTCAGACTGTTATACAGCATAACGTAGTGAAAAGTGACTAATACAGTAAGTAAAACAGTGGGTTACAATGTTTGAGGAGGTCACAATCTAGTGGAATGTCTATGACACATGTCAATCTGTATCAGGGAAATTGTAATTTCCTATGAATTGTCGTTTCTAATAGTTTTCTATGTGCATGTCTGGCCTTGAACACAAGATTAGAGCAAGCATGTTATCTTTTGCTCTACTGAATATTTGTATGTGCTTTGGACAGTCAACAGTTAACAAACAGCTATGGAGTGATTGCTACAAGCCATGCTATTTTCCTTTTCTGTTAGCATCAATTTGTTCTTGGTATGACCAAGGAAACACAGCAAGATAAACTGGAGTGGAAAATAAAAAGTTAAATATTACTGTTTTCATTACAATTCACTGAAAATGGTGATCTCCTTAAATGTATTTTGGACATAGGAAAAAAAAGCTATTACATTTAAAAACTAGCTAAAACATAACATGAGCTATTTGTAAATCATTAGTGTGTTCCTGAAAGTTGTCTATGAGCACTTTATTTTACAACTAGGCAAAGATATTACCAAATGATATTTGAATATCAATAGGCAGAAGAAATAATGAACTTAAATGACTAAAAAGAGAGAATACCGTCAAGTTCTCTAATGTCTAAATTGCCCTAATGATTAAAAATGTTTTTTAAAAACTCATTTGTGGAACAAATTTCATGATATTCAAATATTGCATCTTCAGGCATATATACACAAAAAGTCTCATCTTCAGAAAAATGATATTAAAGGGCCTAAGGATATTAGATGCTCATTCTCAAATATGAACAAAGTACTTGATTAGCTTTAAAATCTCTTATTAATTGTTAGTAATTACCGGTCTTTTCTTGTACAAAAGATATGAAAGATGCAAAATGTTGATCCCCAGGAACACCGAATTCCAAATCATGATATCCAAGGCACATCGGTAGAGAGTGGCCCAGACAACATAAAGGGCACATCCTATAACGAAGTGGGCATGTTAGATGTCTTGTAGCTTAATAAGCTTGTCTTGTAGCTTCAGCATGTAGCTTAATACATTTGTCATCCTCTGTATATAAAATAAACCAAACACATCTTGGAAATACCTGTCAAATATCACTTTGTTACATTTTGGTTTTTGTTTGATTATCCAAACCAAACAACATGTTGTTGCAGAAAACTTGTAAAGTATAAAAATCATTTTTAAAAGGAGAACAGAACCTCATAATTTTACTACTTAAAAGATAGCTACTGTTGATAGTTAATACTGACTCACAGTTTTTCTGTATTTTTAACTGATGGCAAACCTAATGAATCCACAGTTTAAAACTTACTTTTTTACTTATTGCAGTGATTTTCTTATTTCATTAAACCACTTCATATACATAGTTTTTACTGATTGTAACTGATAAACCATAATTTATTTAACTATCTCCCTGCTAGTGGACAGGTGAAACATTTTGCCTGTAATTTAAAAAAAAAAAATTTATTTTGGCTGCATTAGGTCTTAGTTGTGGAATGCAAGATCTATTTCCCTGACCAGGGATGAAACCCAAGCGCCTTGCACTGGGAGTGCAGAGTCTTAGTTACTGCACCACCAGGGAAGTCCCTGTAATTTTTTATAAAAGCAACTTTATATATAAAAATGTATCTGTTCTTATGACTACTTGCTTAGGGTGGATGACCCAACAGTGAGCTAAGGGAATAAGCTTTATAGACTCTGAAGACATTAAAGGACTGTTTTCCAAAAGATTTGTGCAAATTTGCAGTTTCTTTTGATTGGTTTTATGATGGGAGAATCAGTATGTATTTTAAATTTAAAATTATCTGTATCAGTTATCAATACAAATATATCAACAGCATATACACATGGAAAAACTAAATCTTCCACTTTTAAAAAGTTATTCACTTGCACTTTTAAAATTTCATTAAAATGATGTGGGGCACCTGAATAATAACCCAAAGTAAAAATTTTAATGTTCTTTCGATAATATTGCGTAGCACATACTGAAGACATGTAAAATCTTATTACTTAAAGGAGACAGGGTAACAAGATGGAAGGACTGACGGGGAAGCTGGAGGACCTGAATCATAGTCCTGGTTTGGCTAGTTTTCTCTGGTCTTAACCTTGGATGATGCATTTGATTTCTCCAAGGCCTCAGTTGCTTTCTTTCTTCAGTGTTACAGATCTCCCTTGGTCTGTTCCACCTCCAAAGCTCTGTCTTAAAAGTCAAAATTAGCTTTGCTTTTTTATAGGGCATGGTTTTATTTCTTCCCTCAACACTCTGTTCCTCGTGCTATAATCCCTACCTGACCCAGAGGTAACAGCCTCAGAAGCCCTACCTTCCAGCCATCCTTCCAGCACTTTCTTTGACCCTTCCTTGTCGTTCTCGTATATTTCAGGCACAGTGAGCTACTTTTCATCCTCCCTCGATGTGCTGGATCTCCCATTCCTCTCCTTGTACCTGGATGCCCCTCACACGCACACTCAGAGGAATCCTGTTCATCGTCTCTGCAGTGCGCTCTGGTCTGCTCTCCTACTGAGCCCAGCACCTTGTCCGTTTCTCCCTGGCACTGGAATGCCCACCTGCATCACAGCATCTGGTGTGTCCTGTGTGACTGCCCACCTGTTTCTCTCTGGCCCCCCAAAGAGTGTCTTTCTCAAGGATGCAGACTTCATTGTTCACTTTCTGTCTGACATTTTACAGGTGCTCAAAAATGCATCTGAATAAATGAATCACCAGGGACATAATCACATAGAGAGTAACTTGTTCAGAATCACTGGCTAAAATGGTAAATTCATCTGTTTTAGTATTTTGATATGGATTAATTTAACTTCCTTCATCAGGGTTAACAGAGTATCTCCCTAAAATTTTATTTAAACTATTGTGTAAACACCTATTCAAATAATGATAGTTAAAACTATATTTACTATATGCCAGGCACTATTGTAAGTCAAATATCACATACACACACACTCATAAACACTCACCTAATTCTCAAACCCCAGGAAGTGGTATTATTTTTACCCTTATTTGACACCCGGGGAAACTGAGCTATAGAAAGATTATTGCCCCAACTATTGCCCAACTATTAATAACAGTTGGCAAGTACGGGAACCAGGATTGTAATAAGAGTCTGGCTCCAAAGTTTGCACTCTTACACACAAATGTATTTCTGATGTCTGGAAAATCTAAACAACATATGAACATGTTGTTAGTTTTATCTAAAGTACAAAATGGTGAAGGCCTATGTTCTAACTTACTCAATGTACTGCTAATTTGCTAATGAAGGCTCATATTTTTGGTATGCTATAGACCCTCCCCAATACAAAGCCCATCAGATGCAAGTTATAGGAAAATTCTATATAACATCAGTTAAGTATCTTACCTACAGCTAACATCCCCCTAAGAAGTATCATATGAAGGTGAAGTGTAGTTGGAATAACCAATCCAATTGCGAAAAAAATATTTGCTACATGAAAAACTAGATGATGTATCTCTCTCCAGTTTTCACAAGTGGTCTCATTGGAAGGCACAGGTAGGAGTCTTTCTAACTCAGGTGTAAAACCTATTGCAGTTGCTTCTGCCAGTGGGCTGGACTTAGTATAATTCATCTTGAAAATTCCTGTAAAAATGAAAAAATGAAAGGACAGTCAAAAAATGACAGCTGTATCTTATCACCCACCCCTATGGGTATTATACTATACCAAAATCATTTCTGTGAACTAGATGTTGGTAAATAGACTTGTCTGGTGCTTATGAATTAGACAGACCTAGGTTCAAATTCCCACTCTGTCACATATTAAATGTATCCATTTTCTTATCTGTTAATGATGGTAATACTTCACTGACTTTATGATGAAATATATAAAATACTTAGGATAGTGCATCACTATTCCCTGATGTATATACCTATACATATCTACATTTATCTATTAATATGTTTGTATCTAATCATACTTGGTGGGGTAGAGAGGAAGGAGGGATTTAACTAGCCTATAAACAATCACCAATATTCATAAACCACAGCAATTAAAAAGTTATTTAATATAGTTTTCTATTATGCTGCCACTAGAGACACTGAATCCAAACAGGAAAAATAACTAGAAAATGGGTTTTTTGAATACTTTGAAAAATTAACACCTTGTTTTTTACTATTTGAAGGCTTAGGATGTTTGGTTGTTTAGTTGCTAAGTCATGTCTGACTCTTTGTAACCCCATGGACTGCAGCCTGTCAGGCTCCTATGCCCATGTAATTTTCCAGGCAAGAAAATGGGAGTAGCATGACATTTCCTACTCCAGGGGATGTTCCCGACCTAGGGATCAAACCTGCATTTTTTGCATCTCCTGCACTGGCAGGTGGATTCTTTACCACTAATGCCGTTGTTAATCACTATAGCATACATACGTATGTGCTACATTATCTTGTTGTTCAGCCGCTAAGTCACGTCTGACTCTTTGTGACCCCTTGCACTGTAGCACTCCAGTCTCCTCTGTCCTCCACTATCTCTGGTTTTGCTCAAATTCACGTCCATTGAGTTGGTGATGCTGTCTAACCAGCTCATCCTCTACTGCCCCCTTCTCCTTTTGCCTTCAATCTTTCCCAGCATCAGGGTCTTTCCAGTCAGTCAGCTCTTCCCATCAGGTGGCCAAAGTATTGGAGCTTCAGCTTCAGTATCAGTCCTTTCAATGAATATTCAGGGTAGATTTCCTTGAAGATTGACCGCTTTGATCTCCTTGCAGACCAAGAGACTCTGAGGAGTCTTCTCCAGCACCACAATTCAAAACCATCAATTCTTTGGTGCTCAGCCTTCTTCATGGACCAACTCTCACTTCCATACATGACTACTGGAAAAACCATAGCTTTGACTAGATGGACCTTTGTCCGCAATGTGATGTCTCTGCTTTTTACTGCACTGTCTAGGTTGGTCATAACTTCCCTTCTAAGGAGCAATTTCTTTTGATTTCTTTTAATTTCATGGCTGCAGTCACCATCTGCAGTGATTCTGGAGCCCAAGAAAATAAGATCTGTCACTGCTTCCACTTTTCCCCCCTCTATTTGCCATGAAGTTATGGAACCAGATGCCATGATGTTCATTTCTTGAATGTTGAATTTTAAGCCTGCTTTTTCACTCTTCTCTTTCACCCTCATCATGAGGCTCTTTAGTTCCTCTATATTTTCTGCCATTAAAGTCATACCATCTGCATATCTGAGGTTGTTGATATTTCTCCTGGAGATCTTGATTCCAGCATGTGATTCATCCAGCCTGGCATTTCATATGATGTACTTTGCATATGAGTTAAATAAGCAGGGTGACAATATACAGCTTTGATGTATTCCTTTCCCAAATTTGAACCATGTGAACCATGTCAGGTTCTAACTGTTGCTTCTTCAGCTGCATACAGGTTTCTCAGGAGACAGGGAAGATGGTTTGGTATTTCCATCTCTTGAAGAATTTTCCATAGTTTGTTGTCATCCATACAGTCAAAGGCTTTAGCGTGGTCAGTGAAACAAAAGTAGATGTTTTTCTGGAACTCCCTTGCTTTCTCCATGATTCCAGTGAATGTTGGCAATTTGATCTCTGGTTCCCTTGCCTCTTTGAAACCCAGCTTGTATATCTAGAAGTCCTTGGTTCACATACTGCTGATACCTAGCTTGAAGAATTTTGAGTATAACCTTGTAAACATGTGAAATGAATGCAACTGTACAACAGTTTGAACATTCTTTGCTGTGCTGTGCTTAGTCACTCAGCCGTGTCTGACTCTCTGCAACCCCATGGACTGTAGCCCACCAGGCTCCTCTGTGCATGGGGATTCTCCAGGCAAGAACACCGAAATAGGTTACCATGCCCTCCTCCAGGGGGTATTCCCAACCCAGGGATCAAACCCAGGTTTCCCGCACTGCAGGTGGATTCTTTACTGTCAGAGCCACAAGGGATGTCCAAACATTCTTTGGCAATGCCCTTCTTTGGGTTTGGAATGAAAACTGACCTTTACCTCTCCTGTGGCCATTGCTGAGTTTTCAAAAATTGCTGAAATACTGAGTAGAGCACTTAAACAGCACTATCTTTTAGGATCTTAAATAACTCAGCTGAAATTCTGTCACCTCCACTAGCTTTGTTTGTAGTAATGCGTTGTATAGACCCAGTTGACGTCACATTCCAGGATATCTGGCTCTAGGTGAGTGACCACACCATTGTGGTTATCCAGGCCATTAAGACCTTTTCTGTAATGTTCTTCTGTGTATTCTTGCCACCTCTTTTTAATCTCTTCTGCTTCTGTTAGATCCTTACTGATTCAGCCCTTTATGTGCCTACCATTGCATGAAAGCTGGAATCAAGATTGCCGGGAGAAATATCAATAACCTCAGACACGCAAATGACACCACCCTTATGGCAGAAAGCAAAAAAGAACTAGAGGGCCTCTTGATGAAAGTAAAGAGGAGAGTGAAAAAGTTGGCTTAAAGCTCAACATTCAGAAAACTAAGATCATGGCATCTGGTTCCATCACTCCATGTCAAATAGATGGAGAAACAATGGAAACACTGATAGACTTCATTTTCTTGGGCTCCAAAATCACTGCAGATGGGACTGCAGCCATGAAATCAAAAGACTCTTGCTCCTTGAAAGAAAAGCTATGACCAACCTAGACAGTATATTAAAAAGCAGAGATATTACTTTGCCAACAAAGGTCCATCTAGTCAAAGCTATGGTTTTTCCAGTAGTCATGTATGGATGTAAGAGTTGGACCATAAAGAAAACTGAGTGCTGAAGAATTGATGCTTTTGAACTGTGGTGTTGGAGGAGACTCTTGAGCGTCCCTTGGACTGCAAAGAGATCCAACCAGTCCATCCTAAAGGTGATCAGTCCTGGGTGTTCACTGGAAGGACTGATGCTGAAGCTGAAACTCCA